GTGGATGAGGTGCTTAGGGACATAGTCTACTGGTGGCATTAGCAGGGCTAGCTAGTTAACAGTTGGACTTGATGATCTTACAGGTCTTTTCCAACCTAAAAGATTGTATGATTCTACTGTATCTTATAAACAGTGCACAGAAATCAGCAAGATTAAATACAGCATGGACAAGATGGCATAGAAGTCCAAACGTGCTGAAGTTGCAGGCCTGAATAAAAAGCAGAATAATGATGTGATACGAAGAGACAACAGAGAATTATTCTTTCAAGTGGAAAGGGGTTCAGAAAGATCAAAGGTTTATCCTATAAAAGTTGTCAGAGAGATAAGGGGATTTTTTAATTTGGACAGTAGGAGATGATGTTGGTATTGGCAAGTTCTGAGTCATCAACATACATGGGAATCAAATTTACTTACTAATGGGACTATATTAAAAAAGCGCAGGTTGGGAGAGGCTACCGCACTGAAAATATAACCCTGGAAATCCAGAGAAATCTACAGAGTGAGAATGATGAACCAAATAAACAATGAGAAGCAGGAGGGAATGGAGATGTGACCGAAATTACAGTCCATTTGCTAACAGAGGCTGGGAAGGTCAAGAAGAAAGAATAATATACATTCTGAGATTTGGATGTAGACAGGCTTCAACATGAGATTTCAACAAAGCATAAGGATCACTCTTTGAATGGCAGAATTTCTCGAGAATGGAATCAATGATGATGTAACTCCAGATACCTACTACAAATACACACTTTCACTTGCCTCAAAGTGAAGATGGAGAATGGTTCTGGAGAGAAAAATGGAGACCTTCATGCTCCTCCCAACATGGAAGATACCAAAAGAGTTTCCACAGCAGAGAAACAGAAGACAGTAAGTAGTGAAAGGAACAGTAAAGCAAGAACATGTGAACAGAAGAAACTGAGGAAAGTAGGGATGTGAGCACTGATACCTCTACGACAGCTCAACAGGCGAGAGACTGCAGCAACTCTAATGGGGCAAAACCGAAAAGACTATTGAGAGGGGAAGATGAAAGAGAGGAAAGTCACATAATGATTTGTTACTATCCTTCTGAAGGAACTGGTGAGATCCTGTGCAGACAAAGCAAATAAGACTGGAGGCACAAATCAAATGTAGCAGGGGCAGGGGGAACCACGAATGTTCTCATCTTGGCTGATGTCTTTAGACTGCGCAATACTAACATAGTATATTCCAAGGCTGAAAAGCAAAGAAAACAACTAGAAATGTTCAGAGTTAGAAGTTAAATTTCAAGGGCATTCATGGAGTCAGTGAACTTTCACTAACCTAGAACTTAATTTATTTAAAAAAAAAAAAAAAAAACAACAAAAAAACCACCAACCCACAAATGAAAACTTTAACATTAAATATGTGTTTGTTGGAAGTATTCAAATGCAGGTGGTAGTTGTTCTTACCACATATGGAGCCCTTTCCTGTGAGCTTGCTTTCCTCCACAGTTTAGCAATCTGCTTCACTCTTGTAGCCCAGTCTGCCACCAAAACAAAGTGTTAATACGCAAGGCTTTGGTAGGTTCATTTCACATCCTTTCAAATCAAGATCCATAAATTGCTACAAAATATTTAATTTCATTCCATAAATCACTCACCTGGAAATTCTTCCTTTAGGTTAGGGAAGTTGATATTTGTATAGAGAACAGGTGCTACTGTTGCCATTTCACCCAAAGCTTCTTCTTTTTCCCACTTAAGAGTGCTTCTTTGGGCATTGGACATTGTATCGCCTTCACCTTCCAAAGGTGGAGCAGATGGTGCCCAGGAGCTGTTTGGATCACTTACCATTGGATTGAACGCTGGATTCTTATCCCTGACAAATCAGAAAAGGGTTCTGTTTTATAGACACATTGCTCTCAATATTAAAAAAAAAACAATTAGCAAAGTACTTCATTATGTTTGCTATTTCAGCAGAGAACAGGCTGCAAGAATATGGAATTTTTGTAGCAACTGTCAAGAACTATGTAGTTAAATACTAATAATATCACAGTATTAAAACCAACAGCCTCCCAAGTGAAAAATGCTGAACAACAGAAGTTTTTTACTTCCCACCTCGACTTACCTGGTATCTGTATATGGTTGCTGTGTAATGGGAGAGAAAGTGCCCAGCCCGCCTCCAGCAGTCAGAGCTGTGTGAGGGAGATGGGGGTTAGGGCCGATCAGCCCGTTCATAATGGGCACTCTTGGAAATGCACTCTCTCCTGGAAAGAAGAAGTTTAAATTATTGTTTTGAAGGGTGACTACTTTTCAGGTAGAGGTGGAAGTTTTCAGTGAAAAAAGGATGTCTCATTTAATGAAAAATTAATCGCTTTAAAATTTTATAGTACTGAACTTGTACTTTTGGAAAAAATTTTAAATCAGTTGACATCACTTCCCTACAAGCTTAAGGGATTCTCTTCTACTCTATCACATCCCTGCACAGAGTTTTTCTTCCTGTCTCAAAAATCAGGTTTTTTAAATGGGTTTCCAAAACTTTTGCAGTAGCCCATGCCACGGTACTGCATTTTACATGGAGGCTGTCTGTCATGTTTGTTACACCCAGATCCAAGCAGCAGCACACACAGAGAAGGTGGTTTTCAGTCCTTGCAGAATTATCATTAGCCACCTGAATTAAACATCTCCTCTTCCGAGACTTCTGAGCAGTGTACCAAAGTAAGCCTCATTATCTACTAACTCCCTAATTTGTAACCAATGAAACAGATAAATCCAGTCAAATGAGCATCAGCACTTTCTAATTACACGTCCAGCCTAGCAGCACAAAGACAGGGAATTTTATTTATTTGATTACAGTATTAGGCACACGTGGCATGGGCAGATTCTTTCCAGCAGGCGGTCTTTGCAGATGTTCCTACACAACATTAACACTGGCCTTTGAATCCCTGTCACTTCAGTGCGATTGTAACTGTTATCCCAGGGTTTTCTTAAAACCACAGAAGCAGCAGAGGAATTAGATGCACCTGTAGGATGAGACGGTATCATTCTCTCATGCTTTAGGAGACTGTCTTCTGATTTACAGGTTACATACACTATGCAAGAAGTATAGTTTGGATGAAAGTAACTCAAAATTTAAGAGACTGTGCCTTACGACAGCTGCTAAATAGATGGTGACTGTGGAGATCTGGCAAACAAACAGGATGGGAAGTCAGGCCTCTGGTTTGCACTGTAGGATCCCATGTCTTTATGAGAAGAGAGCATTGATTTTATTTCAAATTGCTGAAACTTGATGCCAGCTTCCCCATTACTGAAGCATTTATCTGACAGAAACATGTGGATCATTACACCGTAACCGCATCAAATTATAAATCTAAAATTTTGTAACTGTGGCAGTTCCCACAGGGAGAAGTTACACGATCTTACAGAACTCAGGTGCTGAGGTTATCTCCATGTACTCAAGTAACTGGGAAACAGGCAATGATATCTATATTACCTTTTGCTTTAAATCACCTCATTATTTGCTTTAAAGTCTCTCCTTTCTAAGACGTTTTGAAGTCTTTCTTAGTTTGATGAATTTCCATAAAAAGGAAACCAATCATTTTTCTTTTTATGATTAACTCACTGGTGAAAGCAATTTGCATACTACTTTTTGCAGCACCAGGGTAACAGAATGGGCACTCTTTACATGATCTAAGGGAAAATCCCCCAGAGGTGATGTCTCCCCAGAAAAGAGTGCATTTAATTATGCTCATACACACTGCCAAGAAGAAAAACCAACCGTCTACTGGTAAAATCAATAAAATAAAAATATAAATATAAAATCAATCTGCTCCTTGCTTTCAATATAAAAGCAAGAACATGCTGCTATCAACTCATGATAATTTTAGTAGTAACAAAGAAAATAAATTATAGTCTCCCAGATCCAATTCAAAATTACTCTGCCTTCTCTCTATTGTTTGGATAGGACTAGTTAACATGTTAAACTGAATTCTTAAAGGAAATTAAGACGTAGTAAATCATTTTTATACAGACAGAGTCTTTCTTTACCCTTGAGGAGGCACTCAAAACTAATTAAAGAATAAAGTCAGAAGAGAACACATGCTTTGTTATCACAGGAAAATTGCAAAACCATGAACGTGTCAGCTAAAATAAAAAGTCAAATATGTGAGAAAAATCTAAAATAACTATCCATTTCTGTTAGCAATATTTATGTACATGTTAACCACATAGCCCCTTCAGAATAATTTTAGAATACTATTTCATAAATTAACAGCGGCAGCTTCCACAGATTAACAGTAGCAGAAAGTAAGGTGCGTCCTACTTTCCCATCAGTATTCCAAAGATGCACAGCTCTCCTGACCAGGCAGCTGTTTTTAAACCTTACAAAGGAACATACCTTGACCGTGCAAAGACATAAGTTGTGGTGGAGGTGGAGGCTGGGGCAAAGGAGCCGGCTGCGTGGTTGCTGGACTTAATACAGCTGTGAACAAATCTTCAACATCCTTTCCTCCTAGCTCTGAAAAAACACTGTGCATGAGCTGGCTGGCATTGTTTACAAACTTTATTTTATAAAAGTCAACAAAGACTAAAGCACTTACCTGGGATTTTGTACAATTTGCCAAGAATAGCACCTGGACAAAGTAAAGACAACACAGAATGAGTAATCATCAAAAGATGCAGTAACATTTATTCTGCAACCAAGTCCAAATAGGTATGTTACAATACAGAGATAGTCATTTGAGGACAAAAAAGAAAGAAGACGTCTACTTAAGTTTTCTAGAAGACAAAGATCAAGGAAGAAAAAATTACCATCTGTGACCATTTTGTCTAGTTCTGGACTCAGGATTCCATCCAACTGTTCTTCACTCAATGGCCGTGAACTCTGGTTGACATTCGGCTGAGGCAGAGAAGAAGGATCATCAGAGATGGGACCAATATCTAATCCAGCTGAAGGAAGAAAGAATATTGAGTTAGATATAAAGAGTAAAGTTTAATGATATAGAACAAAGAGCATATTTGGTTTTTTACTAGAGCTGAGCTACCAACTAAACCAAGACCTTCTAAGATTTGAAAGGTAACGCAAAATAAGACATTCATTAGAAAACAGTAAACAAAACAACCCACTATTTACCTCCAGTTTACTGTATTGTTTGAGGAATGTTATTTGACTAGAATGCAACTGGAAGAATGGCAAATTTCTTGTTGAAATAAGACTATTGAGATTTGGTTCAGCATGTTTTCGAGTCTATAGTTTTCAGTATATAGTTTCCACTATAACTCTTTATCACACATAAAAACAATCACACTAATAGTCAATATGGTTCATCCTCACGTACTTGAAGGTTCACTCTAAATGTTCTTATAATGTTACACTAAATATCTACTGAAGTGCAGTCAATATCAAACAAGTTATAGGTCTTTCTGTTTCAAAAACAATTACTAAATATTCTGGGTTACATCAGAGTGATTTGTTGGTACTGAGAAAACATAACTTATTACATAAATTTCCCAACATCCATTACAAGTAAATAAATCTCTCAAATGAGAAAAATCATTGAAAAAAAAAGAACTACACCTTCAGTATTTAAAATATATTTCTGTATGAGATACTAAATAAAACCAAATTTCAAGTAATGAAACATGCCGTTCTACTTATTGTCAACCTGTGTTTTACATCAAGTGATGTATCATCATCCAGTGGAAACAAAAAGACTTGATGCTCACTGCTTTATTCATGCTTTAATATATTCACGTTGTTAAAATGCTTTTTACAAAGCATTTACAAAAGATACCACTATGATAAAAACTACACGCTACTACTAGAAGTAATATTAACAGTGAGAGCAAGAAAATGCATGGGTTTGTATCATGAAACACAAAAACTCAGGAAGGTTTTTTAAAAGCTGTAAGCAAAACTTTATGCAGTACTTGCAGAGTGCAGAGTTTATAGGTTGTGTTAGACTCAAACACCACAGGAATAGTGGAAAATGAAAGCGTGAATTAAGTGACACGGTAAAGGAGTACTAGTTTCTACACATGCAGTTCTTTCAGCTAAAACCACTAGGAAAGATGACTACTTCTAACCATGGATCATCCATTGCTTAGTTTCTTACCAAATGGGGAGGGTGAGTTCTCAACCTGGAAAGTGCATAAATCAAGACCTACAGGACCCAAACCAGATAAAATGGATGATTATAACACGAAAACAAAAAAAAGTAAAGAAAAAGCTGCATGCTGAAAAAGCTATGCAGGTATGATAGACAACGGCAGCTACATTTTATTCTCTCTTAAGCAGCAAAGCAAAGAGCCAAGTAAAACAATGTTGGAAAGGTTGGGGATTTTTTTGGATAGAAGACAACAAAATCATCTCAGACCAAGGGATTCTTAAGATATGAAAATTGCACATGAAATCACCTAAAGCGTAACCTGTAAGTACAACACAACAAAGACAAGGATAATAACAAGCAAAAAAGAAAACAAATACTGGAGAGACCTTATAAACATACATACCCGAATGATCTCCAGACTTTACCAAATCATCAGAAAGTATTCCAAGAATATCATCATCCGTATTTAAGACCTCGGAAAGATCAGCTAAAGGATCGTCGGTGCTACCTGTATAAGATAAAACAAACAACACCAACCAGTCATGGCATTTACACATGACTCTGGTGATGTACTATAGTTTGAGCTATGAACAGATTTACCACACTATAAGGGCCTTCTGTAGTATGTACTTTAAGTCACTTTGGGTGAGAGCCTGTGCTGACCAGCATCCCCTCCCCCCAGTACTGCAGCCGTCCCCACAGGCTTACGTTGTTCAGTATTTTCTCCAATACAAAATAAAAGTGATAACACAATCAGTCATGTGGAAAGAATGATTTTAGGGGAAAAAAACCCCAAGATTCAGTATGAACTTGCAACCTCTAAGACAAAGGCCTATGAATGTAAAAATCAACAAATAGATTTTATAAAGAACACAACTCACAGCAAATCAACATGGAATATTAAAAAAAAAAAAAAAGAAAAAAGAAAACCAAAGCTAAACGTTAAGAAAATGATCAGTCACTTCTCTTACCACCACTATCTTTCTTAAGAATACAGAACAACCAGTTACTACACCCTGACAGGGAAGTAAAATGCAAGAGTAAGGAGCAGTAATAACTAAATGGAAATTGGAGATGCTATTTTTAAGGTCAGAAGAAATCCTGAAGAAGTGAGAACAGCCAGAGGTAGAAACGTCATCATTTGTCGTGTAGCAAAAAACTGGCCTGGCCCTAGCAATAAATTACTTAATATTAAATAATAAATTCTGGGCATTATCATCTTCTTGACATCCAATTCATTAGAGAGAAATGACTCCAAATAGCCCATCTGGTTTTATTAACTAGTTTTTCAGCACTATTACAGATGTGCAACATTTGAAGAGAATTTTTGACAAGTAAATCGAAGTCATGAAAACTATTTTTCAGAAAAACTGCAGCCTATCATGACTACACAAGCAATCACTGCCAGAGCAATGAAACATGACGGTACAGTAAATACACGTAATTAGAGAAAAGGATTAATACAAACCATAAAATGTGGAAAGCAAACATGGGCAGGTTGAAGAGGGCGCAGAAAGTCAAAGAACAAATAAATGTGACTCATATAGGGGTACCTTTCCCACTGTTACAACCCAACTACCCCACGACAGTATTTCTAGCTTAATTCAGAGGCCTGGTGCCAAGAATTTATTTCTATCATGAGGCCACTTTCCAAGCTGCTAAATTTCACAATGAATTAGCATTTCCCCTCTACCATTACTGAAAATCAAAATGAAAATGACTTCTGTGCTTTACTATTTTTCTCCTTTGTAATTCAGAGAAGATGATCCCATCCCAATTAAATGGTTGCGACTCAACTAGGTGGATTGGTGTGCCAGTGCAGACCCGTCCATTTACACGTACATGAAGAATATGGCTCCTCTTGATACCAGCAGAAGTAGTGAAAAAGTGCCTCAAAAGCACATCACTTTGTGGGTATAAGTATTTTGTGTACCTGATAAAATGTACTGTGAAATGTAAGGTTCTAAACATAATCAAGTTGTTGGAGTTTGGGTAGGGTTTGGTGGGACTTTCTGCTTTTCGTGGTGTGGTTGAGGTTTTTTTTGAGGTACTTGTTTTCCTTCTGGCAATTTAGTCTATTTACGCAAGTAACTAACAGCAGGCACCGCAAGGTGATGGTAATGACTTCAGCTAGCTGGTAGGCAAAGGACTGACTTTACCCATTGGTTTAACTTTCCTGAATTCCTACAGGAAGGCAGGTTAAGCATCAGGGATAAAAAAAGTCCTTATGAAGGAGGGACCAAGACTGTACTAGCAGCCTTTAATTCTTCTGTAGTATTTTATGTTATGGTGATTTTCTCCACAGTCCTTAGTAACGTCCTAAAAAATCAACTTCTAATTTGAATATAAATATACTGAGTAAGTAGCTAGAAAGAGCTCAGGTGGAAAGATATAACTGCAGAGTTTAACACCTGTAGCTACAAACCAGCCATGAATAAATTCAGGCTTCAAAATACAGGGCTCCTAACTATTAAGTCAGATTCTGTAATGGTCTTCCGATGAGATTAGGGGGTTGGAAAAAAGCTACCTGCTTTCAAAATGGAGCTTGTTACGTCTAAAAAAAGGCTGAGTGTTAGTGATAGCATAGGGCTACACTCTATGATCCATAAGACTCATCTAAGAGTAATCTACAGCATATTTTTTACAGTTTTCTTCTATTTTTTTCGTTTTAATTCCATGTGTGCTAAATATTATCTTGGAAACAACTAAATCACTTTAGTCAGCTGCTTCAGATTCGAATCAATAGCTGGTTGACATCATCTGCCAAACAAATAGCTCAATACTGCTCATTAATTTGACTCTTTCAGAATGGAGATGAAAACTAGGACAAAGCAAAAAGGAAAATAATTTGCTTGTAATGCTGGATCTCTAAGACAGCATAGTTCTACTGCTATCTTGTGATCCTAATTCCTCCAACGCATTTACTTTTATTTATTTATGAAGTTCTAAAAGAATAAATGCGACTGTCCCAAGGCTGCAGCCACCCCAAGATGTTTAATCAGGCAATAATGTATCTGGATAGAAAGAGTTCCAGCAGCATTTGAATCAGTGGCACGCAGACTCAGATGACTCCTCTCTTTCTGTCAAGGAAGAATTTCTTTAGCATTCTCTGGAAACCCTACTTGGGAGCCTAAAGCTCACTTCAGTCACCGTTACTAGAAATAAATGGCAAACAAAGGTCTCCAAAACCACCCTCCTGGCCAGCACTGCCAATCCCCATGACTACTGCAATCTTGTCTAGCAAAAGCTTCAGCTACCCTAAACCAAGCTCTATGAGTAAGCAGTCACAGACCGTGTCACCGAAACGCACTGTCAGTTGACGAGCAGCTGACCGCATCACCATTCGACTCCCGAGCAGCCCTATGCACATGTTGAAAAGCAAAGCAGATACAGGAGTCTCTTAGCACGTCTCTTTAGGTGCTTGAGAGCTGTTTGGAAGATAAACAAGTATATTTAACCCTTAATCCTGGCATGAAACCAGTGAGGTTTCCAAGAGAAGATCTTCCTTGTGGAAAAGACCTGTCCAGTTGAGCAAGGACTCTCACAGGAGTGAGCAATCCCTGTGAGAAATGGCACTGCAGGAAAACAAGTCGGTAACAGGATGTTACTTGACCGGTTGGAGCGAGTCCAGAGGAGGCCACGAAGATGCTCAGAGGGCTGGAGCACTTCTGCTATGGGGACAGGCTGAGAGAGTTGGGCTTGTTCAGCCTGGAGAAGAGAAGGCTCCAGGGAGACCTTATTGCACCTTCCGGTACCTGAAGGGGCTACAAGGAAGCTGGGGGGGACTTTTTACAAGGGCCTGGAGTGACAGGACAAGGGGTAACGGGTTTAAATGGAGAGTGGGGCGGTTTAGATTAGATATCAGGAAGAAGTTCCTCACAGAGAGGGTGGTGAGGCACTGGAACAGGTTGCCCAGAGAAGCTGTGGATGCCCCATCCCTGGAAGTGTTCAAGGCCAGGCTGGATGAAGCTTGGAGCAACCTGGTCTAGTGGAAGGTGTCCCTGCCCATGGCAGGGGGATTGGAACTGGATAGTCTTTAAGGTCCCTTCCAACCCAAACCATTCAATGACTCTATGATTCTATGTTCCTAAAGGGTTCCCAGGGCAGGGAGTAAAGCAGCTCACATTGTTCCTGCTCCAAAGCCAGGTCTGTATTGAAATGACTAAGATATCACTGGTGCTCCTGGACACTGCTGGCCTCCATCTCCTCTGCAACACCAGCCAGAAGGGAAGATGTGGCTATTGCTATCTCAGCAGTTAGCCCTTTTGCCAGGGTCTCCGCTAGGGATCTGGCTGTCTCACACGTGTGGATGCTATTGTGGAAATAACCATCTCCCACCAAGTCACAGTGAAAGAGTTAAGAACAATTGCACTGGAACTGATCAATACTGGCAGATGACTTCACCCGCTGCCACTCCAACTACAACAAACAGCTCCATCTGGACACAATTTTGGCTGGAATCTTAACAGTTGAGAGACAATTGTTGAGAACATTCCTATGGCCAGAAAGCACTGTCCTTTGAGTCTCTCGTATATAAAATGGGAAAGACAGTGGATTATCTGCTAAAACAGTTGCTGGTGATTTATTCATTTTTAAAAGCCACCTCATTATGATTTATTTCTGAATAAAAAGCAGAGGAAATAAGAAAGTTTTACAACTTTGCTTATTCATAAAGAACAGGGTTTTTAAAAAAAATCCTTTCAAACTCTATAGAAGGAGAACATTAAATTAACATCAAGTTTGTGAATTTCTAAAACCTTCTACTACCCACAATACTACCCACATTAGTGTCTTTAATCTTGCAGTTGGATAGGCCAGCAAAGACTTCTGAATCTCTATTTCTCTGAGAATGCTGGGGTGAAAAAAAAATCTGTGTAAACACATTTTCCTCTAGTGTTGAAACCAATGAAATTCAGACCTTGAAACACTCCATTTGCAGTGGTTTCCCCTTCAGGGGAAGTTAACTTTTGCATTCTCTATTACTCACAATTTCAACTGTGTAACAATCAATGTTTAATTATAATGTAGGCTTTTGCTCTTCGTTTAGCTCATTTTCACCAAGTTAACTAGCACAAATAAGCGACCTCTCTTCAAATGACTCTCTGGACACAAGAAACTACATCAATGTGTGTAAACATTTTTAGATGGAAAAAATTGTGAGGACGGGCTGAAACAAGCCACAAATTAACTAATACACACAAGAAATAGTAAGAGTTTTTTAAAAATACAGAGTGGTAAGAGACCTCTAGCTAATAGCACATACTACAGAACACAGAGGAAAAAAAATCCTTTGTTGGGGACAGTAAATTTTTGCTTTTAATTGCTCCTTTGTGTGAAGCTGCCCTTTCAGCAGCGCTCTACAACCTTCCGGCTATTTGCAAAACTCTCTGCAATGTTTTCAGTAAGGTTTTGCAATAGCAAAAGCAAAAGATTGCCTAGAGGCTACAAACTGTACCTGGAAAGGGCACTCATGTTCCGAAAGGACATGGTGAACCAAAAATTCCGAGGAGACTGGCAACCTAAAATAATCTAAAACATTAAAGAAAATAAAAGTTGGATGATATTCATCCAACTAATATTCACTAGACTACTAAAAATTTCTTTTAATTAAATTATTTTTGTCTTATTCTAAAATGGATCTGTATGCTTATTCTTCACAGAATTAATTTTCATGGATTTCATGGACACGGATGTTACAGTAAAGGAGTTTAAGATTTTCATTAAGTGCGAACTGTGGTGCCACCCACAGCTTTCTGAAACAGCTAAAGCCCTGGACCAGAATATCAGTGATTATTAATGTAACTTAACCTCACAAGGACAGTTAATACACAGATGCTGAAAGATACATCAGAAAAGCATTGTGAGGAAACTGGAAAAGAGAGCGGAAAGGCCCCGGGTGCAACAAGAAAATCAAACTACTGAATTATCACTAACTTTAGCTTTGTATACCTTGAGGTCCCAGTTTGGCCTGAGCTGGCATGGAGGTTGAGCTAAGAAGGGGGTCAGATGAAGGATCCAGGAAACTGCTGGTCAGATTTGTTTTACATGAGAGTGGAAGTGATTCTTCAGGTAAATTATCTAGGCTCATCTTGGTTTGCCTACTGGTATCCAGTAGGTCTTTCCCAAAGAAAGCTTCCTGCAAAGAAGATAAAATGATTTAATGTAGGAAGAGCACTGTATCTATTGAAAACGCTGGGTAAACGGCAAAAGTGAAATTAAAATCCAATGATTACTAGAAATATAAAAATACAGTCTCAATCTTACGCCTTCCAGTAGAGCAGGATCTCTGCCAGGCTATGAGGCGCTGATACGTTGAACACAACTTACCTGAGGTAGCTACATTATTAGTATTTTATGATTAAATTCACACCTTAAATTATGTAGAAAAACTATAGCGTTCTTATGTATATGTGGCACAGTGTACCAATATGGTCTTACAATATTATCCCAAGTTTTTAAGTATTTAAAACATGTCTCCTTGCACAAACAAAACAGTGGAAGAAGGGGAATACTACTGAGCAACTTGATCAAGGCCACACAAGAAGTTTATGAAAAACATGCAAGCGTACTGTGGTCCAAATTCAAGAATGATTGTACACTGTGTTTTAGTTGGCACAAAATCACCCTAACGTCAAACTGCTGTAACAAAACGCCTAAAGCTGTTTAACTTACATCAGTATCACTTCAAATGTTACATAACAGCACTCACTCACCTAAGCCCAAGTACTCAGTAATTTGACAACAACCTATCAAATTTTCAAGCCAATTTTTATTCATTATATAAGAGCTTTTTCTGTTTTCATGTAGTCTTTAAAATCTTGGTTTATGATACAGCTGCTAAAAATAAAGCTAAAGAAAGGGGATTTTCAGTATCTGTTATTCCAACATGTACAAAAGAAGAATCTAGGAAATATTCTATGTTTTACAGTGGTAAAACATGCACTAAGAAAAAAATATTTATCCTTATTAACAAAAAGGAAATGTTACTGAAGTATTTTCTTTTGAACTCACTTCCCCACTTATGAAATACAAATTATTTTTAGACAGAGATTGTTTTGCCTCCCTGTCAATTCCCTGCTTTCAATCCCAATACAGTATTGGTCATATTGGTGAATATCTACAACAGAATAAAGTTTTCATGAAAAAAGTGGCTAAGAAGACCAAGCCAAATAATGTTCTCAGTGACAGGCATATATATACCAGTCAGTTTTTAAACGGGTTGGAGATAGATAAATTATTCAATCACCATTAATATCCTGGTTATTTTCCATGAGTGCTACCTCTTATGTGCTAGGGACATCACAGAATAGGGGGAAAGAGAAGAGATGATTGTGGTAGGGAGATGCAGGGCATATAGAAACACAAAACAACTTTCCCCTATCAAATCATGTTCTATAATCTTTTAAAAAAAGAAAAAACAGTTGTCTTCAGGAAATGGCACGATCAGGCTACGACATCCCAGAGAGATGAATGCTGAAAACATCATGTTGTCTTTCCCCCGCACCCAGCTCCTCTCTCAGAACACATACAGACCTATATATTGAGAAACAACACCAGAGGACTGGAGATTTAACATGATATACAGCTTTCTGTACAAACTTAAGTACGTTCTTCACAGAAAAACTATTTAATTGGAATGATAAACTGGGACTCGGAAAAGAAACATTAATGGCTTAACAGAACTGCTAATCAACACAGATAAAGATCAGGGGTTTAGATGTATTTACGTAAGAAGCACAGCAATAGCTTTACCTGTAAGTAGGCGGGAAAGGTTTCTTCAAGCTTATTTTTCTTTTTTCTGTAACGCTTTTTTATTTTCTCAGTACTTTCAGAAGCTGGGGTAGACTCCTCAACTGGCGTGTCTGGCAGCTGTTCTGTCCAACCTAAAAAGTAACATTCAGGCACAAATAAGTAAAATACTCTGTGTCTTCCCCTAAAGGTACAGTGGCAGCACACCTAACGCATCTTGCTGCCTTTCTGGGCACAGGGGGTTATTGAGTATCACTCCAGATGTACCCTAAAGGTGGCTTTTACCTAGGCAGCTGTGAACTGCCACCTGATCATCTGGGCTCTGGCACTCAAATGCCATACGTGATACTAGTCGCATCACTACCTTGTTGTACCTCACTGGCTGTACATACACATTCAACTTTTCTATCTCCAAGCCAACCTAAGAATTCAGTAATTTGAGAGAGATTATAGGTGCCATTCAACCAAGTATTTGAAAGATAATTCCTCTGAAGTACTATCTCCAAATTAATCCATGCTGAGTTACACTTTAATCACCTTACATTTTATACACTAATTTTTCACAAATTAAAAGTAAAAGAACATTGTTTGAATCTGAGAAATTACTGTCATATAAATAATAAACAGGCCAGAAAACGAAATCCATAAAGAAGCCCTTCCAGAAAAATTACAAATTTATTCAGCTATCATATCCTGAAGTGGCACTGTTTATTCCAATAAACGCAATAGCACACTGTGCTCATCAATCATTGAATATTTTATTTCAGCAGGCCAGGGAGAACACTGTAGGTAAAAGCAGAACTTTTAAAGTCCTCTACTTCTGTCTCGCCAAAGCTAATTACATGAAGTTAATGACCCTGGCAAGTTATTTAAGAAATCATATTATTGTGGTAATAAAACCAGCGATCCTTTGTACTATCGTGATCTCTTGTACCGTATTCAGAGGACAGAAAGTAGAATGAAGCTCACCAGCACTGACCTCTGCATTGTTTGAGTGAGCTTTTGCAGGGAAAGGGGGTGGAACATGACAGGAGTAGCAAAAAACTTGGTGAGGCTGATGAGTACTGGCAGCTGAGAAGTGGGCTCTCAGCAAGCTACATTGATTTAAAACATACAGGGATTCTTCCTTGTTATTTTTTTCTTAACAAGCAATTGTGCCTGAGCAGACAAAAAGAAGCTCAAACTTTTAACTGAAGAATACTTAAGAATATTGCTTTTTAACAATATGCATTGTGCTGCTACCCAGAATGGGGAATAAACGTTTAGCCTTTTTTTTTTTTTACTTAAAGGAGCAGATCCCTATAGGAATGAAAAACTTTTAAAGCAAGCTTTTCAGCACTATCTGAAACAATGTAGCATACTATACTGAAATATTATTTACAAAGCATAAAAATGTAGCTATAACACCAAGATTAATGAGAAAGCAAGCACTGTATCTGAATAGGGAACCCAGCTAGGATATTGGGTTGCACTGATGAAAGAAACATCTGTTGGCTTCATAAAGTAATTCTACAAATGCAAACAAGGACAACTTTTAACTATTAGTTTTTAATAGTGCTTGGAAGCAGTCTACCCCATCCTGTACAAATGCATAGCAAGACACCAATCTGGCTCTAGAAAGGTTAAAAACCTCAATAGCTGAACAGACAGGAGAGAATAACAGGAGAAATCAAAGGCCAGGATCTTCTGAGGTGGTACCAGCCACCTTTAGAAGCAGCTGCCTCCTTCTACTGACTTCATAGGAAACAGGCTCTAAACTAAACATATTCCACATCTCACCTTAATGGCACGTCAGTATTTTCTAGAGTAGATAGTGTGAATAAATGCAGAGGGATGAAATAATTTAGCCTAATCACACACGGCAAGCAAGGGACCAAGGCCCATAAAAAAAATCTGATTTCTTGCTCAGTGCCCAGTCTGCTGAGAAGTACAGTGTCAGAGGCATTCAAATGGCTTTGCTATGAGAAGAGAGACCAGAGGAGGATTCTTCAGCTCTGGAAAAGACTCACGGGGGAATATGACGCATACCTAGAAAATATTTCTGTATTATGAATTAATATGGAGTTGTATTTTTTAAAATAATCTTTCCTAACAAAAAACAGGAGGGTAGCTTATGAAACTCTCAGATACCCAGTTTAAAATGAAAAGAAATTGTCTCCATGCAACAATAGTTGCATGTTGAACTCCCTAATGTAGGATTTTCCAGAGCACGAAGAGATACATAACAGTATCAGACACATTTGTGGAACATGGAACACTGGTGAATATTGAAACTGATGGTTCAGAACACACCTCTGGATCAGGAATGTATCTGGAGGAGGGTGTATCAGAAATGGCATTGCTCTAAACCTACCTCATTTCTTATACTTCTTTCTGTCTTCTACTGGTCAAAGCTAGGCTAAACAGAGCTCTGACACAATACCACATGTCCTTACAGTCCTCACTATTTATCTCCCACAATCGCCTGCAATTCATCGTTTGTTTCTTTGTACATCATGGGCTCTGCTGAAATTATAAGTATGTAGGAACGAGTATTTTCAGTTAAATCAATAGGGCCATCACGACAAATACAAAGCTTTTTCCTTTGTTGCACATATCTGGAAAGAATCGTGTGTTGATGAGCTGCATTGTTTTTACTGCATTAGGCATGAACAGAAATTTAAAAGCAAGTTTCTGCACTTACCTTCATCTCTGCCAGGCAACTGCTCAGAAACAGATCCAGAAGAATCTTTCCTGGAGAGAGATCTCTTAGTCTTCCCCTGCCCTGTACGGCTTCTCTGACGTACCATAAATCCACCAATACCTAACAAGGAAACAAAGTTCCATATATTGATTAAAACTATGTTTCGCAGTTTTAATGACAGCTGTGATTATCCTGCAGGTAAAATGGACTACTGCATCTGTAGAGGTCTAAGAATGAATCTAAGATACCTAAAGAGGTTTCATTCAGAGTTTTACCAAACAGTTCTGAATTTTAATGTCTTGGTGGGTACACATATAATTATCAAAAAGATCAATACTTTAAGACTGTAAAACAACCACAAGTTTGAATTACCAAACTGGGCAACTTTCAGATATTGGTTTTCCCTTCCCTTGGCAAGCTGATGGACTGCTAGAATTAGAAGTCAATCTACCAAATGAAACCTATTAAAGAACCTTAAAGGACCATAAAGAAACCTCTACAAATTGCTCTAGGGAGCCCAACACTCCAAATGGTGGTACTAGAGAAGGACATATCACAAAATTAAAAGATAATTAATCAACATCATACTGCCTGAAACGCCAGAATCCTTCACTAGAGATTGACTGCAGTGCTCCTGATCCTTTACAGTTGGTGTGTGTGTATGCACATGCATCAGACTGAGGTTTGTTTCATTTTTCAGGGAAAGTGTTGGCTGCAGAAAACTAACAGATGGCTGCTCAACTCATGATCCAAAGCCACTCCGAGCAAATGAAACTCTTCTCTTGAGGACCCAGCAGTAGAAAAAAATGGCTTGTTGAGGTGCATTAATTGTAGAGAAAGAAAATCTCCGTTAAGTGATGCGGGTTTGTACCACCATCTCCCCAGGGTGGGCCCGTGATGGCAGGCAGGAACACATGGGCACGATCTGCTGAGATGGGGCTCTCCCTCGACACTGGGAAATGATGTGCGAAGGGTAAAACGTGGTAGAGATCTGTTTAGCTACTGAGAGAGAAGCAAGAGAAACTGGACCATGTTGCAACTCCTGCTTCCTTTCCTCCCTTCACTGTATTCCTTGCTTTCACCTCCTCAATCATTCCATTGCCTCTGTTCTCCACCCCTGCTATCTTCTTGATGGGAGGATATGGCCCCTTACAGCAGGCAGGGTGGGTGTGACTGGCAAAACCAGTATTTGTGACCTCAAAGACTACAGTCTACTTATTCACAGAAGTGGGAGGCTGCATAATGAAACACAAAACCAACACAGATTCTGAGACATACCAAGGCATGGGATAGAGGGGCTCTTCAAAAAGCTGGGCAGTGTCTAAGCACAGCTTATTATCTGGGGTTCCCTTTTAGCCCCTAATGGATCAGAGCTACTTCCTATGGAGTCGCTTAGGTACCTATAGCTTTTTCTGCCTGCAGATAGCTCAAGTGTTCCTGCATCCAGGACACATAGCTAATCCACAGGCAAGATAAGAGTCTACTGCACTAATAAATTAAAATAAATTCATTCATCCAATAACTGAATTAACTAAAATTCACTGCCAGAAGTCTTCTGCAAATACTTAGTAAATTACTGTTACCAAGTATTTCAGAAAATAAGTAACATACCTGCAAAAAAGTTCAGATACTGTCAGACATACATGCATATATACACAAACCCTGGCCTTCATCACATATACAAAAGAATATAAAAGAATCAACGCAGGGTACAGATTTGAATTACTAACCAACAACTGACAGCATACTAAGAACAGGCCTACAGCAACCTTTGGAAATGCATTTTGATAAGAGGCCTAAAAATGATTTTAAACAAAACACCCCGCCCAAAAAAATGTAAAATCAACAATTAGCAATATAATACTTCGGAATTCCATACTATTTTTTTTTTTAATTATACGGGATAAAAAGGGTGTTAAAACAAACAAGGGACACACAATCATATAAATTACTGTATCCTACCAGGTCTATATGGTTTCCGCTTCCTCTTTTTAATCCCATCAGCTCCTTCTGCCACTTTGGTATCATCATCCACAGCTTCCCGTTCTGGGCTGGAATCTGATTTTCCATCACAATCCATAAGATCACCTTCTGCAGAAAAGACACAATGGTAACTTTAACTGGAAAAGGGAAAGGAGGTGTTTTTCCAAAATTTCTACATCTGATTTCGGAGAAACCGACTGAGAATGACAGCATTTTCAAGAGGGTGACAGATACCCATGCTCTGTGAACACCTGTGGGAAACCCACCCCAGCTATACACAAAGACCCAGGTGTACACACATGTTTGGGAGATGATGGTACCCAAAACCAGAGAATAAATGCTATTGTCAGTGGTATGAGTCTGAGACATTTTTTGGTGCCCCTTTCAGAAGCCTGTCCTATTGCATTTTTTAAGTGTCTGAGCAATTTCTAGCCATACATCAAGGAATATGGATACGATTTAAGACCCAAGATATACTTTATTTTGTTTACTGTCCTCTGAAGTTTTTGTTGGGAAGGTTATTTGCTTATTGAGAAGACTGACTGAAAAACTGCAGCCTACGCTTGGAAGGTAATATCCAAGGACTCTTAGTTCGGAGTGTTCTTGACTTGAAGCTGTGTGACTGACTCAAAGCAGACTTATCTATGCAGAGTAGTTTGACTTATATAGTAGAAAATCCAGCCCAAAGGAATTATTCAGCCTGGAAGATGAAAAATTTTAATTTTGAGTTGGAGTTTATATTCTGTGGGACAGCTGGGTAGAAACAGCTGTTAAGTATGATGGCATTAAAAAGCCTTTGGTGTTGAAGAGAGAGTGAGTTAATTCTGTTTCTGATATCCTCAAAATGTCAATATAATAATGACCTTAAAACTTCATTTTATTGTAAAGCATTTGAACCATGTTAAATACAATCTTGCCTCTGAAGATACTGGAATTCTAATTCCCTGCTTTGAATTGAGGTGTTGTGCTGGTTCTGGACAGAATAATTTTCTTCATAGCAGCAGTACAGGGCTGTGGTTTAGATTTGTGCTGAGAACAGTGTTGGTAACACAGGGGTGTTTTCGTTGCTGCTGAGCAGTGCTGACACAGAGTCAAGCGAGTAGCCTGGGGGTGCACAAGAAGTTGGGAGGGGGCACAGCTGGGACAGCTGGTCCCAAGGGAACCAAGGGATATCCCACAGCATATACAGCATCATGCTCAGCATATAAAGCTGGGGAAGAAGGAGGAAGAGAGGGACACTCTGTTTGATGCTGCTTGTCATCCCAAATAACCGTTATGTGCGATGGAGCCCGGTTTTCCTGGGGATGGCTGAACACCTGCCTGCTGATGGGAAGTGGGGAATGAATTCCTGGTTTTGCTTTGCTTGTGTGCATGTCTTTTGCTTTACTCATTAAACTGTCTTTATCTCAACCCATGAGTTTTCTCACTTTTACCCTTCCGATTCTCTCTCCTATCCTGATGTGGGAGGGAGTGAATGCACAGCTGTGTGGAGCTGAGCTGATGGCTGGGGTAAACCATAACAGTATGTAATTCTATATGGTCTAAACCCACATACAGTTGTAAGAGGGAGCGATACTGTTATAACAGGCAGAGCTGGACCCTTTCACATCACTTCTGCAACCCTTGCACTTCCACAAGCTGGGCCACAGACCAGACATTCCCATTGATGAAGACTTCTCCAAGTTATCCCTGCAAAGCTGGTGGCTTGGCACAGGCAGTCCCCACTGACCACCAAAGCCCATTCCCTCCTCCCCTTGACAGCACAGGTAAGGTCTCTTTGCAATGCGTCCACTTCTGTCAGAAGATAAACTTAAGCTTGAGCGCCAATGTGTCTTGCTACACATGCTGAGCGCTGAATGCCACAGTGGTCCTTCCCATGTACTTGGGCAGCACAGCTCTACACACAGTAGCAGAAGAGCCATGTTAAGTCTATCAAAGCTGGTGCTCCCACTGCAAGCTGAACTACCATGTAGCCTTTAAAATGTGGAACCCCGGATGCCGAATCTGAAGAAAGCCTAGAGATGAGATGGTAACAAAACTACCATGAGCTCAATTTTCTCAGATACAGCCTCTTTTTTCCACCTGGAACTCTAGAGTCAAAGTAAAGGTTATTTCTGTTTGCCTGGAATTAGTACATTATGTTGCTCCAACCAAAGCCGTGTTACAGCTTTATTAAGATGTTTAGAGAACAGGCACTGATCCACTCTACAGGGCACATGTAGAGCTACCAGGAAACGCAGCCAATCTACCATGTACATGCTCTGCTGTTACCAGCACATGTATGAATGTTCTGTGACACTTGAAAGGGCAATGAAAGGTGATCAGATCTGAAATGAAAGTCTGTGGAAGCTTTGGCTCTCCCTTTCATATTCTGCTATTACATTTAGCTATCTTGTTATCTAGTTGAAAAGAGACCGATAAAAGCCAACAAGCAGATAATGAAGTTAGACAAAGTTACATAGAAAACAGGCACACGTTTGTAAATGTAAAGATAATAACCACTGAAAAAGAACAAGGGAAGTGGTTAATTCTCCATCTTGATGCCTTCAAACCAAAATCAAAAGCTTTTCTTCTTTCAACAATCCACCTGATGAACTATACAAAAGTTTGAGATGAAATACAATAGTCCATGTAATGCTAGGATAATGCACCAAGCCCGGTGAGTACTGAAGAAAATGAAAAAACAACCCCATAGTTAACTGTTTTAAAGGTTATAAACAAATGAAGGGAAGCTATAGTAAGAAAAATACACTTGTAGTCAACAGCAGACAGTAAGAATGTGCTAATCAAACAACAGGAACAATACTTACAGCAAGTTAACACTGAAGCTGCACTGATGGTTAAACTACCCAGTTATCTCAAGCACACTCTTTGTATCTAAAAAAAGCTTCTTATGACATTTAACCTGATTAACAACACAGCAGTGTTGCATAAACAGAAAGCACTTTAGACTGTGGTGAGGTGGGGTGCCTGTGTTCCTTGTTCCTCTCCTAACAGACACGTGCATGACTAATGTAATGACTTTCACACCTGCCAGGACAGTAAGCCCTTCCCCAGGCCAAGGATTAACACCTATTCCACCAACACACTGAACAGGAGACACAGCCAGACCATGGCAAGAGGACAGGAGATGGTACTGCACCATGCTGGCTGCTGTTTCTAGTGTTGAAGAGCAGGGATTTGGTGAATGGGGCTAGCTGCTCCTACATGCTTTTCCCACTCTCATCTCCCACCTTTGGTCTCCTTTGGCTGTGGTTGCTGTGCTTGCTCAACTGGGAGGGAAGCAGATGAAACAAGTCCTGTTGGCCCTGGAACACACAGATCTTTATTCCATGTCAAGACCTGTGGTGGAAGGAGCCCTCCCAAGGTCTTCTACCCACCTACACAGGGATGTGTTTGGGTAGGCAAGCATTAGCCCTTCATCTCTCATCGGCCTTGGAGGTCATGAAACCACTGTTACATCTTCCCATCCTCTCCATACTACATGGATACTCCGTCCTGGAACCTTCAATCCTTTGGAACAGCTCCACATACAGCGTCATCTACTTGAACTAGAGCAACACCCAGAATTCACTTCCAAACACAAATCCTGTCTTAAATTCTACTTTGGAGATGAAAAGAAACAAAATGTTCCTATGGAAATACAAGGAAAGTTTCTTCCTTGGACCCTAAGGTCAACTTCTTTCTTTCTTTCAAAAAAAAAAAACCTCTCAGCAACGAGCTTTTTACTCCGCTTTCCCCTTTGTTTTAAATAGAAGCTTTACAAGGATGCAGACGTTGCTTTGCTGAGCCAATGTTACCACTTTCAAACAGCTTTTGCAGTAAATCTAAGAGCCTCAAATACACTTGTCCTCAGTGACCACACAGGATTTCCCACAGGGAAGCCAAGGATTAGACAAAAAGGCAACGAGCATTTCCAGTGTTGCCAGCCTTAGAAAGGTGAGTTTCCTACAGGATGGATGACCCGTATGCAAAACAACAAGAAAAATCCCTGAAATGGACAACAACAAGCCACAACTATTGTTCAAGTAATTCCCATAAAGCATTCTGTACGGAACGTAAGAGTAGCGGTATAATAAAAACTCCCAGGGATATCTGCAATACACACATGTACTGGAGCAAATGCTCCAAGATACAAGACATGCCAAAAGTAGACTGCTACCTCTACTGTCATCCATCTCCCCATCTCTTGAGTGTTCTGACTGGGCATCTGGGGGTGTCTGAAGCACAGCCACACTGTTCTGATTTATAATCTTCAGCTTAAGCTTTGGTTTCGTCCGTTTTCTTCTGGGTACTGTAACAGTTAGGCTCTGTAACTGAGACATGCCGGATTCTGTCAAGCAGACTCCATCCTGGGTGTATGTCTTCGGTGGGTCTATAAAAGTTAAATGAATCATAACAGCAATATAAAACTCTTTAGTTTACAAGTCTTTTATGAATAGAACTTTTAAGAGTTAATAATCCACGTGTATGGAGCTGATTCATGAGTGAGGAAAGTGGTATAAATAGAGATATCTGATACTGTCTTACACATTACAGTTACAGCTTTAGAGTCTGATGTCAAATCCAGCAACAATCCGTTACATTGCTACAAAACACCAAGGATTCATTAGAGTGAACGATTTGATTAGGGAAACTGGTGCCTTGCAGGGTATTTCTGTATCCCTGGCACTCACAGGAAACCACGGAAGTCTTACTTTGGATCCCTGCTGCTCCTCGACGAAGGCCCTCATCCAGCCCTCAGCACTGTACCTTCATCTTATTAAGTCTCCCAGAACTCTTGCTAACTCAGGCAAGTTATTAGCTCTGTTTTACAGGCAGACAAGAACCAATTTATATCAAGTGAGCTGCTCAAGATCGAATGGGAAATCACAGGTAGGACCCAAGTCTCCCAAGATCTGCAAGACTGCTTCTTCTTCCAGCTGTTACACGACAATTGAGTCTACCACTAAAACTCTTAACATTCCTTAACTGACCATCTAGAAAGGAGCTGTCACCAGTGCGGGGGCCCTGCAAGCAGAGGTTTGGGAACTTTCACAGAATTACCAAGTAATGAAGAGGCTGCATGATGCTTTTGCTCTTTGGAGCCAATTAAACAGTGATTTGATAGCACAGCTTTTGAAAACATAAACATCCTAACTTTTGTTCCCTTTAGCCACAAATTTTTCTTAAGTAACAACTCACACCTCAAAACACAGCTGGTTCTGAACGCAACTCTTCCCAGATCACTTTTTTCTTATGCTGAACTAAAAAAAAAAAGTGTTTGCTTTAAAAAAAAAAATCACACACTCTTCTTCACACTGAAGATTGAAGGGAGAACCTTCTCTCAGAACTAGATTTGTGCAGTATCAAATGGAAAAAAATTCTGAGGTGAATGTCCTAACATGATGGAAGCTGCTAGGTACTATAATTTAAAAAGTGACTTGTGAGTAGACTCGTCAAGATTATAAATTCCTAGCACAAACCAGACAAATACAGAAAACTTGTGTCCTCCGACAGCTTGAGCCTATAAACATTTGTGTACATGCTTGACTCAGACCCACTGTGTTATCACCGTTAATATGAAGGCAAGCAACTAAGTCTGCAGGACCAAAGCATAATTTAAAGTAATTACAGTGCAGGTATGGCAGGCAAAAGAGAAGAAAGTAGAGAGAATGAGGGAAAAAAAATTAAAAGCATGCTGCCGTAACTGAAAGATAGTTAATGCTGTGTGTTATCAAAATCATAGAAAAAGGAACTTCTGTCTCATGTAAAAATATACCCTTAAAATATGCTAAATGATCAAAGATTAAGCATTTACATTCTTTACCTAGTTCTTTTGATTTTGAAATAATCTGAGCTCCAACTGATGAATCACAACAGTCCAAAGAAGGCACTGAAAAATATAAGGAAAATAATTTCAACTTTTAAAAATGGTGACTTAATTTAAACTGAAACTGTCAGTTAATTTTCCTTCAAACGGTTCTGTTAAACTCCCTGATTTATACTGTTGGCAAGATTCACTAGCACCTTATAAAATAAAGTGCTTTTCAGCGCCACAGCTGATGTGACTACAAAACAAGCCTGATGCAAACTGAACTTCTCCAACCTCCTAGGGCCAAGAATGGCATTGGAACGGCACTGAACCCAATGGTAAATGATCTGCTGCTGGACCAAGGGCTAGTGAATACACTGGATCTACTGGATTGGAAAGCAAGCTCTACTCTAGCCATGACGTTCAGGTTTTGCTGACCTAAGCATGAAAAACGGGAGTTTTGTGAATTTGGTATTGACTGCTGTTTTGTTTCCCCAAGGAGGGGCAGGCACACTCCAACAGCTTCGCACACAAGATTCCAGCTGTGTCTGTGCTGTCAGATCTCGTTATACAACGCATATGAGAAACAAAATAAGGCTGATCTGAGAACAGATGATACATGACTTGGTCTAGTTACACAGAGTAATTCTTATTCAAGATAAGCATATCGATAAATGGAACTGCAGAAACTCATTTAGAAGTATCTACAGCTTGTGCGCTTCAGGGAAGCACTGGAACAGTGCGGCTGAACAAATGATGACCAAAATGTCCTACAACACTAGGCTCCTCTTCTTGTGGGCAAAAATGCTTTTCCCATCTGCCTTAATTACAATAACTGTAGTTGTGCTTCAATAACGTGTGATGTGCAGACCAGACTTTTAGTATTAGTACTGCGACTCTACAGAGATTATGTAGACAGGGTAAGTGAAGTGAAAATTAGAAGCTTCTATCTTGCAAACACTGAGAACTAGACTCAGAAAACATGTTAGTTTGGTAAGGTTAGCATTACCATATAGGTATGTTTATCCATACTTTTTTTTTTTTTTTTGCCTAGAAATCTTATCCATGCTGCATTTGAGATTTAGACAAAACATGTGGAGTATTTACTTTGCATCTGCCACACACGATGAGACCACTGAGGTAAAGCACGTGTGGGAGGTTCAGTGTTTCTCAGACGGGTCAGCCCACCGTACGTGTGGTGCTGCTGACCATCTCACACAGTGCAGGAGTCGGGGCAAGGCTAGGAACAGCACAAAAGCTTCCAAGTAACACTTCAAGTCTTTGCTAAATACAATAGTGAATGTGAAATCTAGAGGATGCTCTCTAAGCGTATAAGAAGATTTAAGAAAAGTGAAAGTCTGTCTTCAAAAACTATAATCCTTTGCAAGTGTTAGGTAGGATGCAACTGAAGTATATGGTATAACCTACAGAAAATCAGATTTCCCTGCAATCGATAAATGAAAGCCCCCTATGAGAATTACTGAAAAACCGATACACAGAAATGGAATGAAAAGACAAGGAACAAAATAAATTGTGTACGAGATTTTGAAAGAGATGCTGAGCTGGAGGGAAACAAAAAAGATACGGGACAAGCTGCAGGATGGAAGATACTCCAAAGCACTGAATTGAAACAACAGGGAAAGGCAGATTGTAAGACATACTCAAAGTAGAATAAGTCACCTGTTCATTTAATTGGTCATAATTTACAAGATATTTTAAGACAGAGATAGCACTTATTGAATTGGAACCTAAGGTAAACAAAAAATTCAGAGAGACAGCTGTGATAGGGAATTTGAAATCCTTATTTAAAAGTCAAACAACAGGGAGCGTTCTTCTGGTCCAGGTCAGACTGTGAACAATCTTAGCTTTGGAGACTGCACAGAGTTGAAACAGTCAAATAAACAAGCTGATGGTGACAGAGGTAAGGCCTTCAGAGACCAACTCACAAAAACTGCACAGTGTTTGAAGACAGTATCAAACAGACTTCCAGAAAAGGAGCTAATTAGAGAGCAGATTAAGGATCAGAATCAATAAAATGGATAACAGAGAAACAGAGTACTGTTAGAGAAAGACTGTTCAAGGGGGAAAAAAAAAAGAAAAGGAGCAAAAAAAAGGACACTGTTTTCTGAGGCAGTTAGCTAAAGTTAAACCAAAATTATTATGCCCATTTACAAAAGGGTTTAAACATGCTGAATACTGCACAGCATTTAGTAACTTCAGTTGAAAACAAGCAATTGCACAGAACACAATACAATGAGAAGAATCACAGTTTCAAAAAGAAAGGGTGATGCCATCTGTAAGGCTGTAACAGAAAAGAACAATTCTAGGAAGAAATTAAATGAGCGTAAGGGACAGAACAAAATGGTTGGTGCAGAAATACCACACTAGCAGAGCACTGTCGGACGCCTGCGTAACTGTGTGCATGATGCAGGCATTTCTTTGTAAATGCAGTAACTTAAAAGCACTAAAGATCTGACATAATAAATGTGCCAAATAATAAGTAATTCAGAAGTTATTTTTTTAACATATAGTATTATGTTGCTTTTGTATTCTGTTTGTAAAGACACTGAGTTAAATTTCAGAATGAGTAAAAATTTAATTCAGGTTCGTGACAACTGTACAACAGAGGCTCCCACCCATAATCTGCCCAACACTGGCTGTATGGAGCGTGTCTGAAACAGTGATAGGAACTCTTCAGCGCCTCTGTGGGCATGCTTCCTTGAGGAGGACTACAGGGGGGGCAGGTACCAGAAACTGTTACCAGATCCGCTCTAACTGGCTAAAGAAAACCAGACAGAGCTGGTCCCTTTGCCTTCTGCAAAGAAAGAAAACCAGCACAAAGGGAGCAGCAGGCTGGAGTGCGTGAATGCAGAGAGGATGGGAGTAAGTAGGGAAGGGATGAAACTTGCAGATGGGACATGTGACACACGGGCAAACGACAGAAAGGTGGAAGTGATGGGTAGGTGGTTGAGAATTCAGCCTGGAGAAGAGAAGGCTCCGGGGAGACCTTATTGCAGCCTTCCAGTACCTGAAGGGGCTACAAGGAAGCTGGGGAGGACTTTTTACAAGGGCCTGTAGTGACAGGACAAGGGGTAACGGGTTTACATTGAAAGTGGGGAGGTTTAGATTGGATATCAGGAAGAAGTTCTTCACAGAGAGGGTGGGGAGGCACTGGAACAGGTTGCCCAGAGAAGCTGGGAATGCCCCAGCCCTGGAAGTGTTCAAGGCCAGACTGGATGAGGCTTGGAGCAACCTGGTCTAGTGGAAGGTGTCCCTGCCCATGGCAGGGGGGGTGGAACGAGATGGGCTTTAAGGGCCCTTCCAACCCAAACCATTCTATGATTCTATAAATTGCTGGTCTAGGCATGTATGTAGATGAGAGATGTACACACCTCTCCTGAATGTGCAGGAATTACAGCACAGAGGAAAAGCTGCTGCTACCTAGAGCAGCTGCTAGTACCCAGTCATGGCAATATTCAAGCAATCTAAAATAGAAAAAGATTTTCTACAAGGCACAGCAATATGCTGGGGGCCATATGTTACAACTTGAGACACTACTAAAAGGAACATGATGAAACACTGATCAGAGATGATTATTTCAAAACAATTTAGTAATGAAGGTTTATGGTGCACTACTTCTGAGCAAATCTTACCACATTCTGGCTTTTAATATTTATGTATATTCAAGAAGAAAAAAACCTATTAATCTTTTCTGTTTCCTGAAGATGACTTCGTAAGATTATCAGATATGATAAGATGAGATAGGGAAGAGCTTGTAAGTTTAAGCTTCCATTTTCTGAAGCAAGAAAAATAGAAGCTCTTTCTCAATACCTACATGCTAGAAGCATTTACTCTTTACCAACAGTAAACCTGCAGTGTATTGGTAGTCTACTAGGTTGAGGGGCTCTTGCTTCTTCTAGAAAGAACATAGTTAAAAAGCTTGTAATTATACTTGAGGCACGTCTGTGATACATCTAATGGTTAAGAGAAAGAATCATCCCAGTGAGAATCCCACAGTATGGTACATTTTAATAAGCTTTCCACTGTTAACTAACATTTGTTTCTGTAAGTTTATCAAATGCTAATTGTTCTCACTTTGAAACAAAAAAGCATAGCAAATTTTCAAGGGAGTTGTAGAAGAATTAATGAAAGACTGAAACATTTCACACAAAAGTACATGCAAGTGTTTCTGTGAACATGCATCAAATGGCATCCGCAGACATGCAGCTGTGTAAATGTACACGAGTTTAAGAGGCAGTATATATACTGAGTCAAAACATGAAAGGGTAAGAGAAACCGGTCTTATTAAAAAAGGGAAAAACCTGCAAAGAAAGCTTGGGAACTCCCTGACTGGTCTTACAGGACTGGTTCCAATTCCTCATGAGACAAACCTACGCAACACAACTTCATGAAGGTGTGCAGGAAGGACGAACTCAGGGGCCACCTTATGCCTGAAGTGAAACATCTCTGACACCATCTTGTGAAGCTGTTCCATCTCGCATATTATAGGCTATAATTATCTCTAAAAGGTAGCTCTGCCAGCTTGAAAGAGAAAGGAAGAGGCAGTATTCCTTACTTGGACCTTTTTGTTTTAAGTGCCCAAAGCTTATTACCAAAATAAACAAACGTCTGTGTTACCTTTGCAAGATTCATGTTTTTCCCACTTAAAAAACCTCTATTTGAATCTGTGAAAGCAAACCTCAAAGATGAAGTGACTTGTAGAAATACATACGCATAAGTCATTCTTTCTACTAATAGTGGCAAAAGCAGGATACTTGGAAGCGTCCCACAACCATGTGTAGTTGACAAGGGAGTATATAAACCTCCAAGGTCACCTCAGCAAGTTACAATTACTGCCACGCTGTTATGAGGACATGCCAGTGTGAAGGGACGTTAGGTGCTCTACTGAACTTCTCTTGGCAGAGCTCTCCAACACATGCCTCATGGTATCTTCAGTCTTCATCAGGAAAGCTGATCTTACTGGCATCTTCTTGGTGGCTATGAATATTTCTTGAAACTTCCTCCTACCACACTCTCACGATATTCCAAGAAAGGGTTAATGTGAATACTTTAACATGCTGTTCTTCTAGGTATAGGTGTCAATGCTCTGTTGAAGTAGCAGACCGAAGCAGAAACTCCCGTGAGCTGACGTGCAGAGAAGAGGCCTGGGATACCGGCCTTGCAGCAAGACCATAAATCATGTAACAGGCCAATCGAATTGCTGACAGGCCACTCACAGTAACATTAACCAGTACCATCCCACAGACACTGTAGCTGGGCTTGAATCGAAAAACTGCAGTAGCCTCAGCTCCTGAAGTACCACTGCTACAGAACTACGGGATACAGACCCATGAGGAGCTGGTACGGAAGCTGGTACGGAGCCCTGAAGTACCACTGCTACAGAACTATGGGATAGACCCATGAGGAAGCTGGTACATATATTCACGGATAACATGGGCGGAGAACAGAAAAGCTCATCAGAAAGAACTATACATTTTAACAAGAAAGTGGCGACTCCTGAGCAGCAAAGTATGGCGACTTCTTTTAAAGCCTGCAGCTAGGGAGGGAAACAGTGGTCTTAAACACGGGGAGAGCTGAGGGCGTGGTATTAATAAAACATGAGGGAGGAGGAGAAAAATGCTTATCCAGATTGTTGTTACAGCTCCTACTCCTTCAGACAGCCTCAGAGTACTGAAATGTTGAAAGTTTTTCGGCTTAGATTGATGTTCAGATTCTTCTGCAGTTAAGAACTTCAGAGAACTGGGTTCTACTCCTTCCACTTGACAAAGTGAGATGCCTTTTACCCTTTCAATACCAAATGGTATTAGTCATTTACCCAAAATATCTCCAATAATTCTATCCAGAATTACATCCACGTTTTCTCTGGCCTTGCAGCCAATCTCTAGAGGGTGTGAAAGAGCTGAGGACACTTCCAGAAGGGCCCTTAAAATAAACATGAAAAATCTAACGTCTACTATAAGCCGAATCTCCACCAGAGAAAAGAACCGTAACACATTCCCAAACCTATTTATCGCAGTGTGCAATCCTGCCATTGGTTTCAATTGTCTTCTTACCGTTTGTTGGTGGTATGTATGGCCTACAAATGGTACAGTCAAAACCCATATCAGCTATGTTTTCCACTTCCTCCTCTGTGTTTAAGTTCTGACAGATTGCATGCATCCATCTAGAAATTAAGTGGGGGAAAAAATACAATTTAAAGGAAATATGTGGTGTTTTAGGAGACCCAAATATCAGTATATGGTCCAAGTAAATGTGAAATACTGGTTTAGTTTAAACTCTTTCAGGGAGAAATGATGACTCAGGTTCTCCATATATAGCATTCCCCTATGGTGGTGTGTGTTAAATACTGTATATATAGTATCAGATTACCTGTTTCCCTTCACAGGAAGGAAATCTCTATAAAACAATGTCCAGGAAGCAAATATGTCTTATTATTACAATTTTCTCCCTTTATTGCAATAATTTTAACTACTTACTTCATACGATGTACATTTAGCCTCACAACTATAGACTTGTGAGGTAAATTAGTTTTATTTTTACAGAGAGGGAAAATGAGGCCCAGATTAATTAATTTGCCTGGAGTTGTATAATAAAGTCTGTGGTACAACCAGGAAAGAACTACTAAGAGATTTCCGAGACTCAATCCAGTGCTTACCACGAGACCATTCCCTTCATCTTTACACTTTCACATTAGGGGAAAAAAATTAAAATAAGCCTTAAACAGGGAAAACACGTACAATATCAGAAATCCTTACCGATCACACTGTCTACACTGAATTATCAGCTCTTCATCCCTGTAAGTGCGATAGCAGATTGGGCAGGTAGACAGACTTGCGCAGGGAGCACACTGTGTGTAATTATTTTGCCATTCACATCTTAAACCCGGAGACGTTGCTCCACAGTGTCTGCACCAAACACACCTGCAGAACAGCCAAAATGATCTATTAATTTCAGTTCACAGGAAGATTATCATGTGGTTTTAAAACCCTCCTACTTAGAACTGTGTAAATAATTAAATTTTAGTTAACTAACCACTTTGGTGGGGGGAGAGGAAAACTTATTTCAGGTCAAACAACATTTCAATTGAATAAAAATTTATTATTTAGATATCAAAAATTACCATTTTTTATACTTTTTAAACAAAGTTCCTAAGAATTCCTTTTAGCCTGAAAAAACAGGCAAATAGGTGTTTGTAACAGCTCAACAGGTCAAAGGAATTCCTGCTTCCAGTTGCCATTCACCTTGAGATACGAAGAGGACTCTTTCTCAAATTGATTCTATGATTTGAGAAAGAGTCCTGCCTGAATACTTGCAGCCAGAAGTGGGTGATACGTAACTTGTACTTTTGTCATTGAAAAGAACATGCTAAAGAGGTTCTCCTTCCTCTGAAGACCTTGCCAGATGGGAGAACAGCAGTAGAACATTTAAACACTTTTAAAACATACCCAGGCTTGTGGTGCAGTTGTGCCACAAGAGAAAATGTTAAACCCTATCTATGACGTAACCATGTGAGAGGTCTATTCCGTGTTTCATCCAACATGAATGATTTTCAGAGGATTTCATTTTGAGAACGATTTGTTGAAGTATCCATTCATTTTTCCAACTGAATGTTGGAATGAAGGTTCCCATGAAGGTAAATTGGGGTTAGGTTGGGGTTTTTTTGGCTAAGAGTTTCAAAAGACAAATTTTGCCCACCTCTACTTAACGTGGGTTTTGGCATGAAGAAACAGCATGAAGAGGAGATAACAGTTACACTGGTAACTGAATGAAACTATTCAAAATATTTGGTTTGCTTTGTTTAATACACCTGACTCAAATACAATTAAAACATTATTACATTACAAACATTACAAACATTATTACTGCAAATATAAAGGGACAAAAAGAAACAGAAGAGGCCAGCAGTCAGTATCTCTAACCCCAGAACCAAACGCACCATTTGCACTTCCAGCCTCCCTTTGGAACTGTCTGCAGGGGTGGATCTAAGCAGTACGTGTGGTAGCTGATGTCGCAGTCGTCACAGAGAAGCAGTCTCCCTGGGTCTGTCGCTTTCCCACAGGCTTCACACACCGTGCACTCCAGGCACCTCCAGCCTTTGCTAAGCACCACTTTAGTAATCTGGAAATGGCAAGGTGACAATTACTTGAAAACTGCTCTCTGAAGCGCGATCATTATATTAAGTAAGGTCTGGCAAGTGGAGCACAGGCTGCTCCTTCTGTCCACACCATCCACATCAAGTAGCTGTTTATCAGTTAGACTTTCTGAGGCTTCAATACATGGACTGAACAGCAATAAACTGTAATTACTGACACCTGATGCTGTTCCAGAATATAAATTCTTCAGATAAACAAGCATACCAGAAAATATATACTGCACTGCATCTACATGGAGGGCATTTACTCCTTAGAGGGGTAGCTGGTCTGGTAGGGATGAAGAACACACGGCTGCTTTTTTCAGCTATGTAGTAAAGCCAGGATTCAGGACACTACAAATCCCCTATCCTTCCTGAATTATCTGTGACACAGAGCGCTGGGTTATAGCCATCTGAAGCAAACAACCAATTTATTACAATTAATATATAATGCAAGAGTAGTATATAAATGCAAAGCCAAATTATAGTTGAATGAAATGCACATATGGCTTCATAAAGTACATTTAAAATAAAGTTTTGTGACATGTCTAAAAAACCCCAGTTTTACACAGATGTACTCATATAAGGAACAATAAAGAGCTTATATATTGCAGTAAATAACTTACTATGTGCTTGCTAAGTCACCTGACACCATTCAAATTTGATTTTCGCACATTCTCTCCTAGACTAATGAATGTAAAATGTATTAATTAACCACTCCAACTGCTGTCAATTCTGACAGCCAACAGACAAATTGAATCAACTAAACCTTATGCCCCTAGCAAATGAAGATGCAATATAATTTTTTTTTCTTTGTTTTTAATTCTGCTTGTATTTAGGTTTTAGGCTCATATCTCAAACTGTTATTTTAACCAACTGCTGGATAATCAGTGCTATTTACGGTCGTGAAATTACAAAAAGGTTAATTTCTCTTGAGGCAATGCATACTATAAAATGACATTTAATTAAAGTCTTTCACAAGTCGCATACAAATAATGGTCACATTAGCTGATGAATATCTAACAAGTTAATGACTCCCCTAATTACCACAAAACCAAAGGCAGCATACTGCTATTAAAGTACAATATGAGAATACTGTAATCAGGTAATTCTTTTATATGGCAAAAGACTCACCTTAATACTGACACAGTATGGATGGTAACACTGACCACATTGAGAACAGGCAAGCAATCTGCCCTCAGCACCTTGGCCAAAACTCCCACATACTACGCACATATCCTGAAATGATAGAAAAGAGCCGATTTAACACACGCCAGACACTGAAATCTGGAAACTTGTAACTGTAAAATCCAACTAGCTTGCTGTATAATTTAACTCCTAACAAGGACATTCTTTTACTTCTTTCTAATTAAAAGCAGAGAAAAATAAAAATAGAGTAACTATTATCCTAACCTGATGGAGAGTGAACTTGTCACTGTTAGAGAAGAGGACAACTGTATTATGCATTGAGTTTTCTTCCTCATCTTTGTTAGATGAAATGTCCATCGTTGTGACCTATTAAAAAACCACAAAACATAAATAGCAAGCACATCACATTTTCCAAGACATGAGACAAGATGAAATTTATTCTCTCATAAGTTAATTTTTAATAGTATCAGAGAATACAAGCTTTGTAAATATTTATTCATACAGTATGAACTTTCTTTAAAAGCAACCTGCACCAGAAATTACTATGTTAATTGACATTGGTTTGCACATCAGTACAAGCATGACTGCTATTTCAGTTTTACAAACAGCATTCTCTTCCTCTCCTTTGTCCACCTTTACCCGTTACTCCATTGCATTTTAAAACTGAATTAAAAGAGGTAGTCAAGGAAAAAAAATCACTAAGCAGAAATTGTCATACTGTGACCAGTCTGCTCTGTTCCTGACATACAAACACTGAAGTTCTCATTGAAAAGTTAATTGCAGTGACATAGTTTTGAGTATTAATTCAAAGAGCAAGAGCAGAAATGTAATTTGTCCCATATTGCCCAAAATGTGGTTTAGCTAATGTTCCAATTACGTCTGAGGAACAAGCACAAGTGCAAAAGTTGCTATAGTTAAGATACTCTCTGTAAGCAATTGTTTTTTCGAGGCTTATCTAGCTTGCCCATTAAGAACTTCGACTGAACTTCAAACCCTTGTTTTGATCTCGATCCATAAGGTCTCACTGTAGACAGCTGTTCTCCTTTTGATCAAGGGATTGTTATTCTGACCTGCCCTTTACTAATTCAATGTATACAGGTACATAGAACTTCTCAGAAAGGAAAAAAAGACTTCAACCGTGTTCTGACTTTCTTGCAAATCCTGCTATGCAAAATTTGTCATCCATGAATTTAAATTCAACCATAATTCACATGATCGAACTATTCACTCCCTGAACCAGTAGTGGCCACAGAAGTTTGGAAGGTAAGAGCACGGCTCTAAATAAGAACAAATGCATGACAGAGAAACGTAACCTTGTTTTACCAGCTGTTCTAATTTTATAAATGTGGATTATTTTAAACACAGTTTAAGTCTTACACTGATAGCTTTGTTTACATCCTAACTTAAATATTTTACAAATCCAAACATCACTCTATCAAGACAAATGTAAATACTGTGACAACAGCTACAGGAATCCTTCTGATACACTGTTGCTGGAAATCAGTGTTTACTGACAAACAGCTAAAAAGGGAGTATATTGCTAGCACGCTTTAATTACTGTATGGTTGAGAGCGCTGCAGCTGTAACTAACTAATTAACCAAAAAGCACCCAAAACACCTCGTGATATATTCAGGGAGAGCTCTTCCCTCACTTGCATTTCCACAAAGTTGTTGGAATTGCTTGCACACACAGAAGAGGAGAATCTGAAGGCCAGAATCACAGCAATTTCGATGCTTGCTTAACAGCAGCCCTGACCCAGCTTGAGTTAACCTGGAACCACTGCCTTCCCTGTTCCCAAGACACAGCAGGATATTACCAAATGTGTGTGGTTGTGCATCAGCCGTGATCCCATGCTGAGTAAGAAACACTTTGTGCAAAGGGGCTGAAAATACTCCCATTTCAAATGTTTATCTGGCAGAAGGCTGGTCTCTTTCTTCATCTGTTCTATCACAAGACTGCCACATCTCTGCTCTAGAACTCTGAGGCTGCTGTTTACTTGACGAGTCAAAGGATCAAATTTCTACAGGAGATTGTAGAGAGTGATGTCCATTTTGTATTTAGAGCAATTCACCTAATCAATATCCTCTGTTCAGTTACAAAAATTTTTAAGTGTTTATTCTGTAAACCCCAGCTTTTCTTGAAGCACAAATCTGTGCTTTGTAACACCAAAATAATTATGTGAACGCATCAATTCATCAAGGTACCTACGACCAGCCTGCCTGGCTAGCGACTAGATGTTTTAAACATATGTTTAAAATTACATATTTGCTTATGAATCTTGACCATCCCAAGCTTTAAAAGGGAACAATGACAGAGACATTTATTCCTTTCTCAGATCACAAATACCAGAGTATTCCAAGCAATTATTATACAGGCAGCAAAAACTGGCACAATGCTGTGTAGAGTCAAACAGATTGTATATGGGAACACAAAGAAGCAGCTCTAAAGAGAACCTGAGGAATTACTTCATGAAGACATAAAAATGAGTAGGCCCTTCTCTGAACATGAGGAACAGGGAGCCTCTTGAAATCTCCAGGGCCGACTGATAATCAAACTTTCAAAGCAATGTTCAAAGAATACAAATCCATAGCAGGAAGAAAACCCCTATGTACTTTTTGCAGTCCAGATTTCCAATAGTTCTTCATACCAACCCCTCTCTTAAGGAGCAGACCAGGACTGTGTAAGATTTAAGAGTTTTAAAAGGCTGCAAGTCTGAAATAGCTCAACTATCAACTGCAGGGAGCAACGACTTGCTCTGAATCACTTCAGTGTTGTACAGGAGATGGCAAAGGTAACCATCATTTTCTCAAAGGTTTCTGGAGGGAAGCTGTGTCCTGTCCTACAGAACATCTGCCACCTGATCCCAGCAGAGAACTTGCAACCACTTTGATACAGCATCTTGCTGAAGAGTCGAGGAAGCTTCAGTTATGGTAAACCATGACCTACCAGGGCTCTCTGAAAGAGTCACCAAGCCTGGGGTCAGGGAAATCTGACTGATGTAATTTACTTCATTAGTACATTCTTTTGGCGAAGTCCTTCACCAATGCTCCTTACAAAAAAGGTAAACTGACATAGACTTGGAGGAATCATCCCTTATTGAGACAAGACACCAAAGAAGGAGTAGGAGAACTTGGCAGTTTCTATGTGGGAGAACAGCACTGGTGGAAATCTGATAGGGGAAGCCTGCTAACAGGCCGTGGTGTTCAACACACTCGTGTGCAATCTGAAAAATCAAGCGAGGAGCAAGGTGACAAAACTTGCCAACAAGTCTACACTATTCAGAGTAATAAAAAATGAAAGACAACTGTGAAGAACCACACAAGAACTTCACAGAGCCAAGTGCTGGGCTATAAAAAGGCAAACGAAGTCCAAAAAGTAAAAAAATTAACATGACAAAACTACTGACAAGGATGATCAAAAATACTGAATAGCTTCTATGCAAGGAACAAATCAAAATACTGGGATTCCTCAGACTAGCAAGGGAAGAGTGGAAGGAAAAGGAGGTGAAATGATGGAGATTTGTAGAAACTGAGTGGCATGGATGGAGGAGGTGAACAGAAAAACCTCTCCACTGCCTCTTCTGTAAAGGCACGAAGGAGCAGGCAGTGAAACCAACAGGCAGCCACTTAAACCAACAGGCTCATGAGCCGTAGAGCTAAAAAAGGTTAACATGGCTTCCAAAAGTTTTTAAAAGTGAATAGACAAATTAATGAAAGAAAGCTCCAACACAGGCTGCCCAAGACAAAGAAACCACCTCCTGTTCGCATGTCTGCAAGCCACAAATGGTCGAGTTCTCTAGGCCTTTTCTCTTCCTGTACTCTTCCCTCAGATTTGGTTCCCTGGGTAGAAGAACCTCTGGTCTGATCTGCTACGGCTGCTGCTACATTATTATGCACAAGCCTTGCTCTCCCCTTTTGCGTTGTTCCAGTGAGTACTGCCTTTACCCGGTGTGTTTTCCACCCAATGAAATGGAAGAAGTACTCTAAGACTCCCAACATTTGTCCCTTTAAGTGGTAAGAACAGCATAAAATTGCTTCCTGTCCATTAAGCTACAGTGCTCCAGTTCCTCATCACAAACACTTAGTAACAGCCAGGCTTTACCCAATACCTCTGCTTTTCAGTGCTCTCTGGTTTTACACAGTATTTTAATACAAGAATTGTAGCTGAGCAAAATTATGTTACATTAACAGAGTGCAATATGACTTAAAAATAAACGTTCTTACCCCTGGAATGACTACAGTCCCAACTCCATTTTTCAGTTTTGATCTACCTCTGCCACCTCTTCCCGAAAGACCTGCACCACGTGGCCTCCGCTTCCCTGGGAATCCTGATCCACGGCCCTATTCAATATAAGATAACAATTTAAATGCAACCTGAAGCTCTTTCGTTATATGGGATTCAAATTTGTTCAATGCATCTAGGCAAAAACACAAGAAAAAAACATCCTATGGTTTCAAGTCAGTATGAGCACATTAGGCCATAGTAACTAAGCCACTGCATAAATCGTTGTGAAATACCTTTAACTACTTACATGACATAATATGATCACCTTTATCACCAATGAGAAAGCAACCAACGCCAGAAATGTCTATTTTCTGCTCAGGAATAACTGTATTTCCCCCCCCGCTCCTTCCACAGTTGCAAAGAATCCAAAATAAATATCCTCTATTCTATGGTTCATTTTTATTTTCTTTTTAAACAGTCAGTTCAGTCATGGGCCTCCTGAATAGGGTCTGGACACTGGATTACTTCCAATTGTAGATGCTTTTCTTATGCTATGAATAACCATGCAAAAATTGGGATTTATCAGGACCCAATCCTGCTCCCAAAGTGAAGCAGGAGCTGGCTCCACCAAACTCTCTTAATTCAGCAGATAGAGAGAGAGCTTTTTGTGTTGTCAGTTACACTCAGATTAACACCTCCCATAATACAATGTTTTTCTTATAAAATATCCACTTACTTTTAGACAGTGTCTTTCCCACTTCCTTATTTTAGATGCAGATGTACAGTTCTAGCATTGCGTGCTCTGGAGTACTCACAGTATGTTCAACTACAATTAACTATGGAAAAGTAAGTACGTTTTAAATAATAATTACCTGATACTAATGTTGTGACTTGGTGGCTTTGTTTTGTTTTATATTTCAAAAAGAACTAAACACAAACAGGATCCCTAAACCTCCTTAATATTTTTCCAGAGCGATAAGGAACATACTGACAATGTCCCTGAGTTCTGGCTGGTATGTCAGACACTTTTGCAATGTTTCAGAGCCTCTGATCTGCAGAAATGACGATAATCGTGGTATAAACTCAAATAAGCACCTTTCCTACTACAAAATAAGCAATGAGATCATTTATTGCATTTCAAATTTGTGAATCATCAGTCTGACACCATCCGCAGAGTATCTAGATTTGCTGTTTGTATCCAAACATTTGCTAGAAACTACTTTTAATACCAAGATAAAACATTTACTCAAGAAAACAATGCTGCCAGAACCATAAAGCTCCAGGGGACGGTGTCACCAACAGACATGAAAAGTCTCTACTGATGGATACAGGAGTTCCCTGGATGGAATGCAGCATTATGGGCTCAGTATTACCAACAGTATTTTTCAAATATGCCAACTCCTGTTTTAAAGATCTGTACGTTTATGGTCATAATTAAAGGGAAAACCGAAGCATCCCAATGTTAAAATTTTATTAACATCCATCTGTTAATGGAAAGAGAAATTAACTTAATTTACTCCTACCCAATGAGGTAATGGAACAAACAGTAGTTTAGGAAGTGAAATGAAGGATGCTACTGATGGCCGAACTGTTTATATGTACCAAGGAGAAAAAAAATGTTGTCCTTACATATATATGGAGTTAATACCTATGCACGCACAGGACATACAAGCGTCAGTTTTTTTAAGATGTAAACCCTTCTGGCATGTTTTTGATTTTGCCTGTCCCAGACCAGGTATCAGTATTGTTATTTTCAGACAACTAGTAACAGGAATAAGCACATACTGGTATCAATGTTAATGCTGAGTATTAAGCTGAAAATTAATGCTTGAAGCAGCAAAAGCTAAGCTAATGTCAAATTAAAATAAAATTAGCATGAGAGTTAAAGTGAGATGAAAACAAATAATTGGGAAGCTACAGCTATTTATTAGAGTTTCACCATTTAGCTTTTTTGCCTTCATTTTTACATAATAATTCCACTTAGTTTCTTCAGGTGTTTCTAGTGGTAAATGTCACTGTGGATACAAGCTTTGGTCCATCTAGTAAGGAAGGAAAGTTGCAATTTATTCCCCATAAGCTAAAAATGATGTCACTTTGAATCTACTCTGCAAGACTTCTCCACAGCAATAAATTCAAGCCACCCTTCTGATCTCTGCTCCTTTCCCTGCCTAGCTTACCTTACTTCCAGTCTTAAGGACATTCTCCTCCTCAGGTAATTTATACTGACAGCTACGTAAAGCCAACCACAAAAAGCAAAGTACTCAACACACATAAAAAAATGGTAATACAAGCTATTCTTTGCCACTGAAAATCAGGGCAATGCCATCATATTCTACACTCTGGAAAGCATTCTTTTTTTTAACTTGAAAACTCCAGAGTTTCAATAATTTTCAAAGGCCTTTAACAGTAAGAGAACGGAAGATGAATTCAGTTGTGAGATACAGAATTTCATCACTAGTCTCTAGAGCAGAAAGATAGCAATGGATACATGAAAATAAATTCAAATTATTTACCACTTTGATGCTCCAAATGGCACTGCCAGGAAGCTGTCTGGATTTAAAAATGTCCCGACCTTCTGAAATGTCTGGGGACCAGGAAGGTGGGCTGACTGTATTATTGGTACTCCAAGCCCCCTAGGATATGGTAGGTGAGAAAATAGATGTATAAAACTTCGCAACATAAAAAAAGAAAAAGAAAAAAAAGAAGAAAAAAAGCAAGCAACAAAAAAAATCTGAAAAGCAAAGCACATGCAGGCATAGGCATTTCTATGTTAAGTAGTCAATTAGTTCACTGAGTGAGAGGAAGGTGGGAAATTTTTAGGTTCTCATTGAAACATACACAAAAACAAGCATTAACCTCCAACTGATGGTTAAGTTCAACAGAATGAGTTTTATAAACAAAGCATCATACAAATTGAAACCAAGCAATCGTAACAACAACAAATTATAAACCTAAATTTTATTGCATCAACTGAAGACGACAGTAGTTTGAGATGGTAACATCCCCTTTTACACTTCACATCACATTTTGAAAGAAAAATGGCCTTAGTCAACTTCTGAGTCTAATCTACTGAGAATCACAACAACAACAAGTTTGAGAAGCATGTGAAACAAAAGGAATATAAACAAAACACTGGGGGGAAAAAAAAGAAAAATAGCCATGGCAATTACCAGAAAGTTTCTTTCCTGCAAGTTTACCACAAATTAAACATTGTAAAACCCCACTACCCATTTTTTTTCATCCCAGTGTCTTCCTGTTACGCTGTGGTATCAAATTTAATGTGTTATGATATACACATCATAATATACACTCAACACAGTTTGTACCTACAAACTCTTTCTAACTGATTGATTATTACCCCTATTCTTAGCGCCCATCGTGGTGAGATACTGCATAACTGTCACAAGAAATACAGCAAACCAAGATGTAAGATGGACAAGAAAAAAACCCCACTGAAGTGCCTCAAACACATTTAAATCTGTGGATCTCCCAAAGCCTGAGCAAAGACTGCAGGAGATAGCCATCATAAAAAACTTCATTCCAAATTTACACATTAGAATGGTTAAAGGATAATATGTTTTCCTAATTCTCAGTTTGTGAGAGTAAGAAATAATGAATACCAAAGATAAGAAGCAAAACAGATGAAAAGTATAGGTTTACCTTCTCGAGAATGACATTCAGCAGCAGAATCGCATGGATGATATGGAATAACCTCACGCATACCAAACAGCCCCAACTATTCACACTGCACGACTGCTCACACGGGCAAGCCCAAACACATTTATGCCTTTGAATACTGCTCTATACAGTAATAAGATTAAGAAAAATGAGATAGCTTTGCAAAATGTGGGTTTTCTTCTGAAGTGAAATATTCTCCATCAAGACTGTGTGGGAAACAGTTTCTTTGGAATCAACAACTCATCAAAACATACATTCATCTCAGACTGTAAACAGGTATTTTGCTAACAGCTGCGCTGGCTGAAAATAGGGCTATCCCTCAACTGATTTCAGGCCAGAAGGATCGCAGGCAAGACCTCCCTAGTCCCTGTAAGGCACAGCCAGGTTAGCTCAATCTGCTGATGAAGGTGAGCAGGAGCCAACATCTCTCTTACCCTCGAGCAGATGAGGAACAGCTCATATGACGCCTTCTGCCTGCAGAGCTGGGTAGGCAGTAACCTACGGCTGCTCAGATCGCTCAGTATTCAAACTAGCACAACAGATCCAAAAAAACCCTTTTGTCAGTGACCTCAAAGCCTAATTACGCATGAAAGTCGCATTTTAAAAATGCCAACATCCTCCAAGTGGTACGACCCACAGTGTGGACATGGTGGTATAAATCTGCTTTTCTAGGAGTTTAGCTACGCCTGCATGGGAAAGGGAATATGGACAATAAAGCACTTCAAAAAAACCCCAAACCAAAACCCACCCCCATCACTTTACAATTGTACACAAGGGGGTACTTAGACACACAATCTACAAACTGCTCAGTCGCCAAGGAGATTACCTCTGTGTTTTCAACTTCCCATCACTGTCCTCCCTCTGCCAAGGTGCTTCCAAAAACTACTCCAGCCAAACTGCTAGTGCCAGCAACTGCTCACCTGCCCTTGGGTCAAAGTGAGAATGCTCGGTTCAACCACCCTGGGTTTTGCCTGCCTCCAGTTAGATGGTCATCCTGCAGACAACTCAGCAGAGCAAATGGATCAATGACCTCTAGTAGGGGAATAGTGTGGAGCAGAAACCTGCTGCACCTGCAAACACAGAGCTGGATGGAGTCCTTGTTCACATCGGGGACGTAAGGGCGTAACATTCATGGTATAACATGGGCACAACCGCAGCGAGTCAGAGACGGGGAAAGCAAGGCAGCAAACTTCCACAGAAATGGAGCTCGAGGCACCTACCCAAATACACTGCTGGAGCGACTCCGGTGCAACACACGTCACTCTCCCTGTGCTGAACCACCCTGGGCTCCCCGCGTGGTCAGCAAAGGTCAGCGGGTGTTGGCAGAAAGCAACTCAGGGCAGGGGATGGAAGGTGTCGGTCTCACCCCACACACCCCTGCTGTTCTCCAGCAACTCTAACGGGGACCTGAAGGTGACCACAGCAGATCTTCCGCACT